TCAAGAAATTTCATTTGTAACAAAAACAAAATAAACTTCATTACAAATCATGGCATGCTTGCTTGTAGTTTTTCTTTTGTCTATTTAATGGTTTACAATTTCATCGCGACTAACCTAAGTTACTGGAAGCGATAGATATCTCATAACGTGAATAACGCCACCTACTGTTACGTGTATTGCTAGATTTAATACGTAATTAGAGGCCTCTAAGACTATAAACTATAAGTACATTAATTATTTGAGGTTAACCAAATTGTAATGAAATGTAAACAAAAATATACAAAATTAAATTTAACCTAAAAGTAACAAAAACGGATTTGTTAAATTATAATTAAATCTATATTTAATTGTCCTTAGGGTATAAGATCCTTTAAGCTTAAGTCGCTCCCGGCACTAACTAAAGTATCACGATGCCGCTTTCGGGTTAGCGCTGGGGGGGTCCAGCGATCACAATTCTCCGGTGGCAGGAAGTGAAGAATCTGGCGTGGCGTATTCTCGTAAAGCAAAGCGCAACAGAACACTAGTCGGTACTAGCCCATGTTGGATGTCAAACCGGAACATAAAACCCTAGAAGCCAATATCGACCGATTACTTTCTAGTCGAATATTATTGGCAAGAAACATTATTGACAAAGCGAAGAAAAGCGGATTGTGGTACGAATGTATCTATCTAGTGATCAAGATAAAACTGTCAGTACCTTCTGAGAACAATCTATTTTTAAGAGAACAAAAAGACTTAGCGGTAGGCAGCGGCTTGGCTCGCGGTAGGCAGCGGCTTGGTTCTGCCCTGGCATTGCTGAACTCCATGGGTGACGGTAACCACTCACCATCAGGTGGGCCGTATGCTCGTCTGCCTACAAGGGCAATAAAAAAAAACTTAAAATATACATTGAAAACAAATAAGGCAAAGTTAGCCAATCCATGCGCTTAATAACCGGGGCGGGGTGGCAATGGCGATATCTTTGGACATCCAAAATGCATTCAACACCCTGCCCTGGTCGGTGATCGCGGGGGCGCTGGAGTATCACGGCGTCCCCGCGTACCTCCGCCGGCTGATCGGCTCCTATCTCGAGGACAAGTCGATCCAGTGCATTGGACACGGTGGGGCGATGTACCGCTTCCCCGTCGAGCGCGGTGTTCCGCAGGGGTCTGTCCTGGGCCCCCTGCTGTGGAACTTCGGCTACGACTGGATCCTGCAAGGCGTCCTACGGGGTCCCCTGCCCGGGCTAAGTGTCATTTGCTATGCCGATGACACGTTGGTCGTAGCTCCGGGGAGGGAGCTCCGGGAGCCTGCCCGTCTGGCTTGCGCAGGCGTGGCACACGTCGTCACTAGGATACGACGCTTGGCGCTCGAGGTAGCGCTCGACAAAACCTAGGCCCTGCTTTTTCACGGGCCGGGACGGGCGCCGCCTGCGGGTGCCCACCTCGTGATCGGAGGCGTTCGCGGCGGGGTCGGGGTGACCGGTCTCAGGTGCCTCGGCCTGGATGGTCGGTGGAGCTTCCGTGCTCACTTTGAAAAATTGGGCCCTCGGCTGATAGCGACGGCCGGCTCTTTCAGCCGGCTTCTTCCAAACGTCGGGGGTCCCGATCAGATGGCGCGCCGCCTATACATGGGGGTGGTGCGGTCGATGGCACTCTACGGCGCGCCCGTATGGTGCCAGGTCCTGACCCGCGAGAACGTCGCCGCGCTGCGACGTCCGCAGCATGCGATTGCGGTCAGGGCCATCCGAGGATACCGCACCGTCTCCTACGAAGCGGCGTGCTTGCTCGCCAGGGCGCCACCCTGGGACCTTGAGGCGAAGGCGCTCGCTGCCGATTACAGATGGCGTAGTGACCTCCGTTCTAAGGAGGAAGGGCGCCCTGGTGAAGTTATAGGTTCGAGCGCGGAGACTCCAATCTCGGCTGTCCGTGCTGGAGGCGTGGTCTTGCCGCTTGGCGGACCCGTCGGCCGGCCTCTGTACCGTCTGCTTCACGGTATAAATAGGCAGGGTGGTTGGTACCTACCCGTGCGGAATTACAAGAGGTCCTACCACCAGTAATTACGCAAATTATAATTTTGCGGGTTTTATTTTTATTACACGATGTTATTCCTTCACCGTGGAAGTCAATCGTGAACATTTGTTGAGTACGTATTTCATTAGAAAAATTGGTACCCGCCTGAGATTCGAACATCGGTGCATCGCTCAACACGAATGCACCGGACGTCTTATCCCTTAGGCCACGGCGACTTACCACCAGTCTTCACCACCAGTCGCCTCAGGTTCTACCACCAGTCGACTTGAAGGCTCCGTCGGCTGGGCGTCCTTGGGTGAGCTACGCTGTCTGGTTGTAGTATTGACCGCGGTAACCCACCTACCTCATCCGGGTTCTGGCCTCGGAGGGGATCCTACGTCAGGTGTAAGAGAGGTTCCTAAAATTCCTTGGGCCCGCGGTCTACTCACAACACCTTGCAGATCGTTGAGTCCCACATACCCCGCGCGCCCCCTAGGCGCGGGGACCTCGTAGGACGTTAGGCCCCTGGTCCGAAAAAAAAAAGGCGCCTAATAACAGAAATCGAGATCATTACTTCAGTGCGTCACGCAGGGCACCGGTGAACTACAGGGCAGTCAAAGGGTTAAAATAAAAACTATACAAAAAAAAAGCTTTCAGCAATATTGGCACAGTAACATAAAAATAAATATACATACATACATATATAGATGAGTAAAGACTATGCATGTTTATAATACAATGTTTAAAGGTAATTAAGTAATCGAAGCAGTTAACACAGAAAAAATATTAAAACAAATGTATTATTTAATCATCTCGGATTCTCTGTAGGGGTAATAAATGCACATCAACATACCCAAAGTACGAGGTTTGCAAATACTTACTTCATAATGTAGACGTATTTGGAAAACTCTAAATTAACATCAGGCGGTAATTAAAGCTTATATTTTTTAGCTTAGATGCATAACGCGCTTAGCTAGTTACAGTCGTGTTTACCCAATCCTGTAAACCGAATGGTAAACAGTCGACGTCGCCCAAAGCACGTCATTACGGATCCTCCCGATCCATTAACGGTGCTTTTAGGCACCGCAAGCACCGGTCGCCGTCCTCGTCGAACCCATCACTTGCGACGAAGGGCTCGACGAGCGAATTAACCCATAGACACAGCCCACTGAGTTTCTCGCCGGATCTTCTCAGTGGATCGCGTTTCCGATCCTGTGGTAGATTCTGCGAAGCACTGCTCTTGCTAGGGTCAGTGTTAGCAACACTCCGGTTTGAGCCCCGTGAGCTCACCTATACACGTTAGGGTGAAGCTGAAATAGCCTCTCAAGGCTATCAGCATAGGTAGGAGAAAAAAAAAAGGAAATAAAACGCTTGGTATTGGTAAAATGTTTGTGTACCGGGCTATTAATAGGTGCAATGAGACCTCCTCTGTTTGTGACAGAAAAAGATCTGGCCTTCCACGTAGTGTTCGTACGAAAAAGGTGGTCAAAGCAGTAAGGGAAAGAATTCTAAGAAATCCTGTCTGAAAGCAAAAGATTTTATCTCGGGACATGAAGATAGCACCTAGAACCATGTCGCGTATTTTAAAAGATGTCTTAGGACTTGCAGCCTATAAGAGACGTACTGGTCATTTCTTAACTAATAATTTAAAAGAGAATAGGGTGGTAAAATCGAAACAACTACTGAAGCGGTACGCAAAGGGAAGTCATAGAAAAATTTTGTTTACGGATGAGATTTTTATTACAATTGAGCAAGATTTTAACAATCATAATGACCATATTTATGCTCAAAGCTCTAAGGAAGCTTCCCAATTATTTTTATTTTTTTATTTTTTTTATTGCCCTTGTAGGCAGACGAGCATACGGCCCACCTGATGGTGAGTGGTTACCGTCGCCCATGGACTTCAGCAATGCCAGGGGCAGAGCCAAGCCGCTGCCTACCAAATTAGTCGACAGAGTGCAACGTGGGCACTATCCGATTTCAGTGATGGTGGGGTATTAGCTATGAAGGAGTGA